AAAAAAAAAAAAAAAAGAAGGAGAGAAAACTTAAGTGCTCTCCACAATGCTCAAAAGCAGGTAAAATGTAAAACAGAGCATTAATTTCCTTTGAAGGACAGAGCCTACTTTATCTCTTAGGGAGTATTGCCATTGAGATGAACAGGAATTTGTGGTGAAACAACCCTTTGCTCAGTGGGTGTGGCAGGAGGTTGTAGGAAGAGTAGGAGTCTAGTTCTGGGCAGAAAGCCGGTTTTGCCATGGGCTAGGGAATCTACCACACTGAAACCTGCAAGAGGGAAATTATCTCTTAGCCTCTCTTCCTTCACCAAATGAGGTTCTTTGGGCCTCAGTTTTCACGTGGTCTAACCCTGATATTTTGAACTACAGTTTTCTAGGCACTTCATATCCATTATCTGATAAAAATTTCAAGAGAATTCTGAGTCAATCCCATATTCCAGAGGAAGAAACTGAGGCTCAGAGAGGTCAAGGATTAGTCAGACTCCAAAGCCTTCTTAGGGACCTCAGCCATCTTCCTCTCTCAGTTGCGGAATGGGCGTAGTAAATCCTCCATCTGAAGTAAGGGAGGAGAAAGCCAGCTGAAACAAGCCAGGGGTAAGCAGGGATCTCTCAGGGTCTCCAGCTGGCAAATGCAGCAGTTCAGGAGAGAGGAGTGGGGAGGGGCACCGGGACGTTGGAGGAGGCGGAGTGGGGGTCCCAAGCGACTTGAGTCTCCCCTGGTAGGCCCTGCCCAGCCCCACCCCCAATTCCTGCGAGTTGCTCCGGCTTCCCACCCGCACCAATTTTCTTCCCAAGGAAGGCCTTGCGCAAGCCGTCCTAGGTCAGGTCTCTTGGCCCTTTGCCTGCGGTCTCCGGAGCTGGCTTTGCGCCCCGCTCTAGCCTGGCCCCCAGCCAATGGCCCCTGGCGCCCGGCCAGTCACGTGGAACCTCGGTCCTCTTTGGTCCGCTTCCTTCAGGATCCTGATTTAACTCCCTCCTCCCTCTTCCCTCTCTGTCCCGGTCTCTCTAGGCACCACACCCGCTCAGAGGAGCAAGTGTCAGGGACTAAAGCCTCAGCTCTGTCTCGCTAAGGGTCCTCCTGCCTCAGTTTTCCTGCCTGTTAAGTGGGTCCCCCCACTCCGCGGCTCTCTTTATTACTGCCCACTCTTACCCTGTCCTTTCTCTCCCTCTCCTGCCCCCACTCCCACTAGTCTCCGGAGCATTCCGAGGACTTAATTCCCTTCAAGGCACTGGAGGGTGGGGCCAGAGGGGAGGGGAGAAAGCGTCCAGGAGCCCTAAGGGAGGTCTCAGAACTGGTCCCAGAGAAATGCCTCGAGGCGACAGGGTAAAACTGGTCAGCCCCTGACGTCACACAGGTATGGGTTCGAATCCTGTTTTGCTTCTGATCTACTGCTTATTTTGAAACCTTCATCTCTCTGGGCCTCAGTTGTCCCTTCCGTGAAATGGAACCCTGCTGGAGACTAAGGGTAGGAAGCATCTAGCAGGGGCTCTCCGACCTCGACGAAGTCCCCGCCACCCAAGCGCGGTCCCTAGCTCAGAGCGGCTCCCGGCCTCCCAATCCCCGGTGCCTGCGGCGGAGGCTCCTCCTCCGCTGACATCAGAGCCGCAGGCGGGCGGAGAAAGGCAGCTGGGCTGAGCCGAGCCCCAGCGCGAGAGCGGGCGGGCGAGCCGAGAGCGCAGCGGCTGCGGACGGCGGCCAGAGCTCGGTGCCAGCCACCTCGGGCCTCCCAGCCAGCCCCGCGGCGGGGCAGCCGCAGGTACAGCCGGGGGCCGCCGCGCCCGCGCCCCTGGGCGCTGCGGAGGGGAGGCGGGAACCTCCCAGCCACTGGTTACCGTCCCCAAGGAATGGTCACTGGGTGCCCTCCTGGGAGGGCTGGACCCTGATAGGCAGAGCTGGGCTCACCAGGCCCAGGCTCAGCAGGTGCCAGGCAGGCCGGTGGAAAACTGAGCGGGTAACAGAGGAAGGTGGAGAGGGGGCCTGTGTGTGCGTGCGTTCAGCTGGGCCTGAATGTGGAAGGGCGTGGACATTTGGAGGTATAGACGGGGGTGGCGGTGGAGTGTACTAACGTCTTAGGACGGGCCGGTGAATTGGACGTGGGGTTGTCGTGCCTTGGAGTGTAAGGGTATCCTTATGCGTGGGGACGTCTAGCAATCAGCGAGCTTTTTGTTGCAGATGGGTGTCCAGGGGCTGTGTGCGCTGGTATCTGGCTCTAAGGGTAGTTAAGTCAAGAGTAGAAAGGGATGTACAATTGAATACTGAGGATGTTTGGAGTTTAATGTGTAAGGAGTGGGGTTTGGTTAGGAGTATAGGAGCTTCTAGGCCAGGGTATGGGGTAGTAAATCTGGGATGTCTGGAATATGAAGTGGGTGTGTGTCTGGGTGTCATCTTGCCCAAGTGTGTGTGTATGTGTGTTTCGGGGTGTTAAGAAGAGTCTGGGTGAGAGATGTTTGGATGGTCAGGCAGGTGTTCAGGTGTAAAGATGTCTGGGGAGTGTGTGTGGGGGGATATGCATGCTGATACCTAGGTACGTGTCATGGTATCTGGATATAAGGTGTGCTGGATCAGGGAGGCATGTGTTTGGGGTCAGGGGTGTGGATAGGGCTTGGTGCGAGGTGTCTGCTGCAGGGATGTGTGTGGAACTGTGAGGGGCTAAGTGCTAGGTCTCCAGGTGGGTTTAAGACTGCCTCTAGAGCAGCAGTTCTCAACCTGTGGGTCGCGACCCACAGGAACTGTATTATAGGGCCGCGGCATTAGGAATGTTGGGAACCACTGCTCTAGAGCTTACCATCAAGTCCTCGAAGTTTCTGCCCCTGAGATAGGTGCCAGGGAACAAAGTCCCATTCAAGGAGTGGACTCTCACACCAGGGACTCTAATAAGGGCACTTTCCCCTCATTCTCCCACAGAGAACAGAGAAGGAATGTGCTCTCCCTGGGGTCACACAGCATGTTGGGCTCTGTTTTGGGCTCACCTTCTGTGGGCTGGGATGGGGTTGAGAGGCTATGTTCTCTGAATGGGTCCCAGTCTGTTCCTAGCTCCTCTATGGCCTCTGTTCTCAGCAAGCTTAGTTAGGGCCCTAGCTGGGTGTCATTTGGGCCTCTGCCCCCAGCATCTAACCATGTCCAACCTCTGTCTCCCAATTCTCCATCTGATAAATGGGCAGAGAACTCCCAGCCACTCCTGCCGGGTGAGCCTCTCCTCAGCCGGGTAAGGGCCAGGCTGGGTAAGGGTGAGATGGCACCAGCGGGGGATAGCCTGGATAGGACCATTTCTCAGGCTTCTGGGACCCAGATGGGGAGTCAGGAGGGAGAGGCCTGGGGAGCTCCAGCTGTGGCTGTTGTTGCTGTGGTAACAGTGCAGAAAGAGCTATTTAAAAACGTGGCAGAGATATTGCTGGAAGCCCAGGCTGCCGGAAACCTGATTTCTGAGAGGCCAGGGTGGGGAGGAAAAGGAGGAGAGGAGACACCCTAGCAATTCCCAGGATGGGGCTGGGATATCACTAAATCTGTGGATAGGGGAATCTTCTAGGGCCATGTACTTCTACAGGCTGCTCTGGGGGTTTATCTGTTGTACTGCCAGAGGTCAGGGTTCTCTTGGGTGTTTGGATTTGGAGAGGGAGAAACTGGGAAGTGAGTTTACATGAATGAATGAATGAATGACTTTATTGAATATACAATTTTGCTGTCACCATGAAGGTTTTTCTCTAGCCATAAGCATTTGCTAAATGGATGTTGTTGAATAAACAAGTGACTGGCGAATGAATGAATGTGTGTTGATTGATTGTCAAATGAATGGATTGAGGAATGAATCAATGTAAGCTGAATGACTGAACGGGGCCTGCAGTAAATTTCCAGACAGAAGGTTGGCTCCCACTTAGCTTTCTCCCTCTATTCCCCCCTCCCAGGAGCCCTGGCTGTGGCCGGAGGGCAGTGGGCCATGCCGGGGGCAGTGGAAGGCCCCAGCTGGAAGCAGGCGGAGGACATTAGGGACATTTATGACTTCCGAGATGTTCTGGGCACGTGAGTCTTAGGGTCGGGGGTAAGGGGATGGATGGTTGTGGGAGGCTGAGTCTAGGGTGGTGTTTCCTCTGGTCAGTTGATCAATGCTTCCTGTTTCATATAGCCCAGGCCCTACGGCAGCCTTGCCATGGCCTAGACTGGCTTCAGATTTTCAACTCTAGCTGGCAGTTGGGGGACGGGGGCTATTCTTCCCATAGCTCTGGGGTTCTGCTGAAAAGAAGGAAGTAGAGGAGCATGAAGGGGCCAGTTTAATTAACTTGCTGCCAAGAGCTGGGTGTTCTGGCCTAGGTTTGGGAAATGAAGCTGCACATGGCTCTGTTCTTGGTGCTAGGGATCCAGAAATAACTCAAACCTGGTCTTTGCCCCTCAAGTTGATCCCAGACATGCAGAAGAGATAGACCCACCAGAAAATGACAACAGGGTATGCTCTGTGCTCCAGTGAACATCTAGGAATGAGGGCTTTGTAGAGCCCAGAGAGAGGAAAGATTTTCTGGAGAAGGGTGCATTGGAGCTGGGGATTGAAGGATGGGTCAGTGTGCACTTGTCAGAGAGGAAGAAGGGCATTCCAGGAGGAAGGAATAGCACAACCAAAGGCTCAGAGTCATGGTGTACATGGAAGGAGGTAGAGTTTGGTGGAGCTTAAAATCAGAGGCTGGGAAGAGTGGAAGAAGATGCTGGAGATGAAGGTGTAACAGTTGAAAGCCAGGCCAAGGAGGCTGGATATTATCCCACAGGCCATAGGATGACATTTAAGACTTCTGGGCTTATTTGCGATTCAGGTTAGTCACTCTGGCCATAGCATGGAGGGTAAATTGGAAAGGGACAAGACTGGAAACAAGTGATGGGGTTAGCACAATCATGAATTATCCCTGATGATTGAAATTTCACCATGAGAGATGCTTTTGACTCATGACTTTTTTTTTTTTGAGACAGAGTCTCACTATGTTGCCCTTGGTAGAGTACCGTGGCGTCACAGCTCACAGCAATCTCAAACTCATGGGCTTAAGCAATTCTCTTGCTTCAGCCTCCCAAGTAGCTGGGACTACAGGCACTGGCCACAACACCTGGCTATTTTTTTGGTTGCAGGTGTCATTGTTGTTTAGCAGACCCATGCCAGGCTTGAACCAGCTGCCCTTAGTGTATGTGGCTGGCGCCCTACCCACTTAGCTATGGGTGCTGCCCTACTCATGACTTCTTATTCTCCCAGGGAAAGCTAATGGATGTGGAAAGAATATCCTAGTAAATCTTTCTTAATCAGTGAAACTAAGCATACAAATCACCCAAAGATTTTGTTTAAATGTAGTTCTGATGTAGTAAGTCTGGGATGGGGCCTGAGATGCTGCATTTCTGAAAAGTTCCAAAAAGCGTTAAATTAGCCATAATTCAAATTGGCTTTAGCAGACAAAAGAATCAATCAATGGGCATATAATCAAAAAGCTCAGGGCTAGACTTCAGGCATGGCTGGATCTAGGGTTAGGGTTAGGGTATTATCAGGATAATATCACATGCTATTATCAGGAAATTGTCTTTGGCTATCTCTCAGGTCTAACTTCCTTTGTGTTGGCTTCATTTTCTTTCTTTCTTTCTTTCTTTTTTTTGCAGTTTTGGCTGGGGCTGGGTTTGAACCTACCATCCCTGGTATAGGGGCTGGCACCCTACTCCTTGAGCCACAGGTGCCGCCCAGTGTGTTGGCTTCATTTTCAAACAGGCTCTCCCACCTCATCTTTGTGGTAGGAAAGATGATTGCCATTAGCTCTAAGCTTACATCTAAGCTTACATTAGCTCTAAGCTTAACAGGAAAGAGCGCCTCATTCTCCAAGTACCAATAACCTGGCTTGCATTGCATGGCCAACTACTATGGCCAGGGGACAGGGTATTCTGACTGGCCAGGGTGTGCATGAGTGATAGGAGGAGGCTCATCCCACCTCCTCGGTCCAGAGGTAGTCACATAACCCACAGTGGGTAGAGCAAACACAAGAGGGAAACCAGGGTTTCTGTTCTTCACTTTGTGCATCTCCTCTCCTTATAGGGGGGCCTTCTCAGAGGTAATACTGGCAGAAGATAAGAGGACGCAGAAGCTGGTGGCCATCAAATGCATTGCCAAGAAGGCCCTGGAGGGCAAGGAGGGCAGCATGGAGAATGAGATCGCTGTCCTGCACAAGTGCGTGGGCTACAGCCTGTCCCTGCTCCAGATTGACTTGATCCTCCCACCCTCCTCCTTCTTTGCTTTGGAAGAGTTACTTAATTTCTCTGAGCCTCAAGTTACTCATTTATACAGTAGAGATAATTTCTACTTGGTAGGGTTGTAGAGAATATTACAGGTCCTGTATTTCAGCCTGGCATGACAGCAAACATGACAGATGTGACTTGAGATGCCAGTGCTTATCTACAGGGGTTTAATCTGTTCAACCAGGTCTCCAGATCAATCCTCGAACCCACATATCTCAGCTGGTGTTATCTCTGGACCTACCTCAAGTTTCCCCACATATTAGTGCTACTTAGCAAGTTAAAAAATGCCCATCTGCTGACCCCCTGACTAAATCAACAACCGACTGGCCTCTGAATTGCTCTTGCTGATATGAAGCCTAACCTCACTGGAAAGCTCATAGAGAATCTTTACTTCTGGTCTCCCCCTGAGCTTCCCAACTACCCTGGGCAGGAAGAAACAATCATTTCCACTCTCAGGGGCTGAGGGTGGGGAAATGAGGCCCATAGTCAACACAGCAAGCTGTGGCAGAGCTGAATCTTCCTCAAGATCTGTCACCATTACTGGTTCATTTATTGTTTACTGTGTACCAGGTACTGTGCCAAGCACCTTACCTGTATCATCTCCTGTGGTCCTCCCCGCACCTCTTGGAGAGAAGTATTGTCCTTGGCTTCATTTTACAGATAAAGCAACTGAGGCTTGGGGAGGCTACATTCAATCCAACAAGTCTGTATTATTGAGCACCTACTTTGCACCGGATGCTTGAGGAACAGTGGTGAGCAAGACAAATTCCCTGGATTTCTGTAGCTGACATTCTGGTGGCGGAGGCTGACAAACATGCAAACACAGAAAACTCTTACCAGCTGGGCACAGTGGCACATTCCTCTAGTCCCAGCTACTCAGGAGGCTGAGGCAGGATGATTGCTTGAGCCCAGGAGTTCAAGGCTGTAGTGTGCTATGATCACTCGTGTGAATAGCCACTGCACTCCAGCCTGGGCAACATAGGAAGCCTCATCTTTTAAAAACATAAATAATTCAATCATACCCCAATCAGTACTATGAAGTGAAAAGACACCTAGCAAGTAGTAGAGGCAGGATTTGGACCCAGGTCTGCCTGATGCCGGAGCCCAGTGCTTACCCTTCTGCTCTCTTGTTTTCCAAGAAATTATAATAAATCAACTTTTTTCTTTGGGTTCCAGATCCTTGGTTTGTCCTGCCAGGTTTGCAGGCAGTGGGGAGATAGTGGCTGGGCTGTTATTAGGGCTCGGAACCACCACATTTCTTTCTTTCTTTTTCTCTTCCTCTCCTCTCTCCTTACCCTTCTTTCTTTCCTTTTTTTTTTTTTTTTGAGACAGAGTCTCACTATGTCACCCTGGGTAGAGTGCTGTGGTGTCACAGCTCACAGCAACCTCAAATTCTTGGGCTTAAGCGATTCTTTTACCTCAGCCTCCCAAGTAGCTGGGACTACAGGCGCTTGCCAATATGCCTGGCTACTTTTTTCTTGTAGTTGTCATAGTTGTTTGGCAGGCCTGGGCTGGATTCGAACCTGCCAGCCCCAGTGTGCCTGGAGCCCTAGCTGCTGAGCTACAGGCACTGAGCCTTTCCTCCTTGTTTTTTAAATTTTTTTCCTTTCCTTGCCTCCCTCCCTCCCTCTGGGGTCTTGTTACATTGCCCAGGTTGGAGTGCATTGGCTCTTCACAGGTGTAATCACACCCCATTTCTCTCTCTCTCTTTTTTTAATTAAAGCATAGCTGTGCACATTAATGCAATTATGTATTTAGCTCACAGCAACCTTAAACTCTTGGGTTCAAGTCATTCTCTTGCCTCAGCCTTCCAAGTAGCTGAGACTACAGGTGTCCGCCACAACACCCAGCTATTTTTAGAGATGGGGTCCTGGCTCTTGCTCAGGCTAGTCTCGAACTCCTGACCTCAAGTAATCCACGTGCTAGGAATTTTTCACTTTTCTTTTTTCTTCTCTTCTCCTCTTCTCTTGTGATGGGTCTTGCTATGTTGCCCAGGTTGAAGTACTGTGGCTATTCACAGGTGCAGTCACAATGCACTACAGCCTGGAATTCCTGGGCTTAAGCAATCCTCTCACCTCAGCCTCCTGAGTAGCTGGGAGCTATAGGCACCTGCCACCATGCCTAGCTAAACCACCTTATTTCTCCTTTCAGGATCAAGCACCCCAACATCGTAGCCCTGGATGACATCTATGAGAGTGGGGGCCACCTCTACCTCATCATGCAGCTGTGAGCGGTCCCACTTCTGCCCCTTCCTCACACCTGTCCCTCTGTTCCTACTCTTTTGGCCTGACTGCCCTGTGCTCTCCAGGGTGTCGGGCGGGGAGCTGTTTGACCGTATTGTGGAAAAAGGCTTCTATACAGAGCGTGATGCCAGTCGCCTCATCTTCCAAGTGCTGGATGCTGTTAAGTACCTGCATGACCTGGGCATTGTACACCGGGATCTCAAGGTGGGGCTCCAAGGAGTGGAGTGAGCTGGGGCACCTGGGGTTAGAGCCTTTAGAAATTCCTCATTGCCTGACCTTGGGCAACTCTCGCCCCCTCACTGGGCCTTAGCTTCCCATCTTCAAAATGGACCTTGTAACCTTTTTTTTTTTTCCTCTTTAAAAATTTTTTTTCACTCATTCACTCACTGACTCTCCAACCTCGTAACCCTTAAACTGCCTCTTTACATTCCAGTTCAGACACTGAAAGGAACACAAAAGTGAACTATGCTGTTATTTTCTCCAAATGATGTCTTGTGTTGATTTTTTTCTCCATTTATTTTTTTATTTGTATATATTCATGGGGTACAAGCGCAATTTTTTTTTTTTTTTTTTTGAGACAGAGTCTCACTTTATCCCCCTTGGTAGAGTGCCATGGTGTCAGAGCTCACAGCAACCTCAGACTCCTGGGCTCAAGCGATTCTCTTGCCTCAGCCTCTCGAATAGCTGGGATTACAGGCACCCGCCACAATGCCTGGTGATTTTTTTAGAAAGGAGGGTGGGGAGGAGGTCTGGCTCTAGCTCAGGCTGGTCTTGAACTTGTGAGCTTAGGCAATCTGCCCCGGCCTCCCAGAGTGCTGGGATGACAAGGCGTGGGCCACTATGACTAGCTCACAATTTTCTTGCATTGACACACTGGACTGTGGTGGAGTCAGGGCCCCCTAGGACATCCATCACTGGAGCAACACACACCATTTTAGCACAACCCCCCACCCATGTTTTTTCCTGGTAATGAAAGTCTCATTCACTCTTTGTAGAAAACTTGGATGTGACAGCAAAGCATAAAGAAAGCCAGAAATCCTTGAGCTCCTACTGCTCTGAAATAACGATGGGGTTCATGTTTTGTAGTACACTTTATTCCAGTATAGAAGAGTGCTAGGGTGCCAGATCTGGGTTTCAATTCTGGCCCTCCTTCTCCCTAGATGGGTCTTGGGCATGTCATTTTGCCTCTGAAGGCATTGCTTTCCTCATCTGCAAAGAAGTTCCAGACCCCTGGCAGGGATATGGCAAGGATGATATGAAATCAAGCACAAACAAAGGGCCCAGCACAGTAGATGTTTAAGAATTTCTTTTCTTTCCTTTTTTTCTTTTTGGGGACAGAGTCTCATTTTATCACCCTTAGTATAGTGCCGTGGTGTCATAGATCACAGCAATCTCAGACTCTTGGGCTCATGTGATTCTCTTGCCTCAGCCTCCCAAGTAGCACCTGCCAGATATTTTTCTTTTTTTTGAGACAGTCTTATTATGTTGCCCTCAGTAGAGTGCCGTGGCATCACAGCTCACAGCAACCTCAAAATCTTGGGATTAAGTGATACTCTTGCCTCAGCCTCCCAAGTACCTGGGACTACTGGTGCCCACCACAATGCCTGGGTATCTTTTTTTTCTTGCAGTTGCCATTGTTGTTTAGCTGGCCCAGGCTGGGTTGGAACCTGCCAGGCTAGGTGTGTGTGGATGGTGCTGTAACCCTCCTGCTGTGGGCGCTGAGCCATGCCTGGCTATTTTTAAAGATGAGCTCTCTGGCTCAGGCTGGTCTTAAACCTATGAACTCAGGCAATCCACCCACCTTGGCCTCCCAGAGTGCTAGGATTATAGGCATGAGCCACCACACCCAGCCCCACTCAAGAATATCTTTAGGGTTGCACAATGCACATCTGAGGTTTGCAAAAAATTCCCTCCCATACCTCCTTGGCCCATGTCCTTTCTGGAACTTTTGCCCTTCTTGAGAATTTGAGTTTCTCTCTCTCTCTCTCTCTCTTTTTTTTTTTTGAGACAGAACCTCATTATGTCACCCTCTGTAGAGTGCTATGGCATCACAGCTCACAGCAACCTCAAATTCTTGGCCTTAAGCAGTTCTCTTGCCTCAGCCTCCCAAGTAGCTGGGACTATAGGTGCCTGCCACAACGCCCTGCTATTTTTCTGTTGCAGTTGTTTAGCTGGCCTGGGCAGGGTTTGAACCCACTACCCTTGGTGTATGTGGCTGGTGCTGTAACCACTGTGCTACAGGCACTGAGCCAGAGAACTTGAGTTTCTTGTGCCTCCAGCCAAGATGGTAGCTAAGAAGTTACAGTGGCTTTGGGGAGTTCACTGTTTCTCAAGGGGTGCTTGGGGAGGTAGAAGGTTCTGCCAGCCTCTAGCCATTTCTGACTGCCCTGTCCCCTCCTTCCTACCCTCCAAGCCAGAGAATCTGCTGTACTACAGCCTGGATGAAGACTCCAAGATCATGATATCTGACTTTGGCCTCTCCAAGATGGAGGACCCTGGCAGCGTGCTCTCAACTGCCTGTGGAACTCCAGGATACGTGGGTGCGGAGGGCCCTGAGTTGGGGCTGTGACTGGGGGAGGAACCAGGAGCTTCAGTGCAGAGATTTGTCATCACCATGTCCCCTTGCCTCCATAGCCCCTGAGGTCCTGGCCCAGAAGCCCTATAGCAAGGCTGTGGATTGCTGGTCCATCGGGGTCATTGCCTACATCCTGTAAGTTGGGGCTTGGCCGTGGCAGGATGTGGCTCAAGAGTTGTCCTCTCGCTGCTTTCCTCTCCTCCTCCCTCTCCTTATTCTTTCCTTCCTTCCATCCATAGTTGTATCAACCACTTTAGTACGAATATTACTTCATTCAATAGATACCATGTTGCAGGCACTGCGCCAAGCACTGGGGATTTAGGAGAGAATAAACCAGACAAAGTGCCTGCCCTCGGGAAGCTGACCTTCTAGTAGGGAACACAGATAATCGATAGTAAATAAATCCATAAAATAAAGTCAGGTGATTTAAAAATGCTGTGGAGGAAATCAAGCAGAGATAGGGAATGGGGATGATGTCATTTCACATTTTAGGGCGGTCAGGGAAGGGCTCGCTGCAGAGGTGACATCTGAGTGAGGTGAGGGAGTCACTCATTCAAGGTGTGGGGAAAAAATGGTACAGGCAGAGGGAACCGAAGGTCAAAGGGCCTGAGGAGGGCAAGATGGTGGCATGTTCAAGGGACAGAAAGGCCAGTGTAGCTAGACAGGAGTAGGCCAAGGGGTAGAGTTTATAAGGCCGGGTGGGGGGGACTCCTTCCTGTGTGTTCTGACCCCTGGGACTGCCCCAAAGCTCTACCCTGGAGCCGATGGGTGCACTGGATGTGGAAATGAGGATGAGTTTCTCCCTGCTCAGGCTCTGCGGTTATCCCCCCTTCTATGACGAGAATGATGCCAAACTCTTTGAACAGATTTTGAAGGCCGAGTATGAGTTTGACTCTCCTTACTGGGACGACATCTCTGATTCTGGTATTTGTGGCTTTGTCTTCTTCCCCTGGGCCCCTGCCTCTAGTGACTTACTCATCCATTTCTTTTTTGGGGGGTGGGGCGGCGGGGTTTCCCTACTGCCTTCCTTTTGTCAGATTCTCCAACCCCAGAAGAAGAGCTGTCTTGGAGACCAGACACCCCTTCCTGGGTGCTTCCTTCTGGTTGGCCCCCAGTCTGAGAAACTTGTAGACATTTATCCAGTCAGTCGTCAAACATAGTGTTTTTGAAAATACCTTTCTCCTACTGACTTCCTAATACCTGAAACACTACTATAACCATTTTCATCCCCCCTTTTGTGTCCCTTATTGAGAAGCAAACCGGTGAACCTACTCTGAATTGTTTATACATCAGTGTGATTAAAATACTCAGGAGATTCTTTTTTTTTTTTTTT